CGGGCAGCGCTGCAGACTGCCAGTACTGGGAGAGACTCCTGGCTAAAGAATGCAGGTCCGTCACAGTGTTTTCAATATTGGCCCCATTGTGTGTCAGTCCCTTTTGTTATTTCTTCTTCTATCTCTCTGTGCCTCTATGTGATGATAAGACGGACATTACGCCCACATTCAGCTTGTTTGACAACTCAGTAAAAAACATCATTAACTGAGATAATAAGTAGATGTTGCCCAGTGTAATGTCAGGAGAATGAGAGAGGTTCTGTCTTTCACAGCAGTTTCACAAAGTAAAATAAAGATCCTGTGATTGTACAAATACTTAAAACTCTTCTGGGACGGTCCACATCAGCTGTGGGTGCTGGGTCTTAGGTGTATTTGGCTTGGACGTTAATTTCAACACTTGTGTGCACAAGCTTTCTTACTCAGGTTTGATGCTGTGTTGCATGTTGCTTGTGCCATGCTGAAACATTTTATCTAGTTCCTGTTGTGGTGCGTCATGACTTCAGTCAAAAGTTAGTGCCTTTATAAACCCAGGAGGAGTGTCATGAGACTGTAAGTTCACGACCATCTACATGGCTGATTGATTTGTCAGTTAATTTGCTAATGAGTTAATTGCTACCTTGTTTTATTATGATCTCATGCAGACTGTACAGGCTGAGGAACAACCACAGGATCTCTGTAGCTGCTGCGTCGAAGCTGCTGTCCAACATGATGCTGGGTTACAGAGGCATGGGCCTCTCCATGGGCAGCATGATCTGTGGATGGGACAAAGAGGTGAGCGGTGTGTGTGTGTGTGTGTGTGTGTGTGTGTGTGTGTGTGTGTGTTCGCACAGCTCGGAGCCTGAAACATTATAGTGTTTTTTGAATCACTTCAAATGAAGCAGAGCCTCGAGTTGTTTCCTACTTACTGGTAAGAAACATCCTTGTGGTATTAGCAGGTTGGAGGAAAACCAGAGAAACCAGGGAGGGTAAACATCTAAAAATCAAGTATTTGCATCAAATGCCAAACACTTTTTTAATTACAGTCAATTTTTGGATAAACCATGTACATACACACTGTTGTTCTCAATCTAAAGCTCTACTGTCTCCCATAGGCTTGTATATACATTTCCATACGGTGTTCTAAAGTGACCGTACAGTGATCTGTGATCTGGCTCAAATGTCCACAGTACAGTAAACAACAATGCACCATTGAAACTGAACAGTTATCCAGACGTTACTGCTGTCACTGTAGTACAGTGCTGTAATTGGTTTGTGATCAGTTTCTGTAAAAGTGATTCCAAAACTGTTTGAATCAACAAATAACATTTAAAACAAGGAAGAGGTTACAGACTGTAAAAATGTGTGTATGGTTTACAATATAGTACATCTACATTCTGTGCACATATTAAACCACAACACATTGAAATATTGACTAGATAAGCCACATGACACATAAAAGGCACCGTATGGTTCTGAAACCACCAGCTGGCCTACACCTCTACTTCTTACATAAGTATAATTTCTTCTTCTTCAATCCTGTCAATATCAGATTAGTTATATTACATTAGTTGCAATGTGATTATTGTTACGCCTCTATTTGGAGCTACTGGTGTCTTCTCAGAATCTAATGGACCGGTGAAATCATGTACGCAGCTCATGTTTGGAGACTTATCAGAAAGTGTGGCCTCTATATGAAGTCATAATGTTCCTGCAGACCATATAATGAGTGTGTGCTCTCCAGGGCCCTGGTCTGTACTACGTGGATGATAATGCGACGCGTCTGTCTGGCCGTATGTTCTCTACCGGCTGTGGGAACAGTTACGCCTACGGTGTGGTGGACAGCGGTTACAGGGAAGACATGACGGTAGAGGAGGCGTATGAACTGGGCCGCCGGGGCATTGCTCACGCCACACACAGGGACGCCTACTCTGGGGGCGTGGTCAACAGTGAGTACACTCTCACAGGCTTCCTCAACTTTTTTTTTTTTACTGTTAGTATTGTTGTGTTTGTCTTTAAGGCTTTGATTAAACCCACACCAACAGAGCGGCTCAAAGGATGGAAATGTTGGTCAGTCAGTGTCACTTTGATCCAAACTGAACTCTCACTTCATCACTGAAATGAAATGAAATGAATAAAGTGATGACCAGAGACTTTTGTTGCATGTTGTTCTCTCTCCCCTCATTTCCTGTCATCTCTCTCCTGTCAGTTATTAAAAAACATTCATTAAATGTGGAAAACGTAATTAGAAAAAACTGAGAGAAGACTGAATGTTGTACAGTCCTGAAGTGTATAAAGCTGTGGTGTGTGAGCACAAGGCAAATTGTCATTGTTCATCGTGAGCTTTCATCTCTGTGTTTTGTGTGTGTGTGTGTGTTTGTCTAGTGTACCACATGCAGGAGGACGGCTGGATAAAGGTGTGTAAGGAAGACGTGTCAGAGTTGATCCATCGCTACAGGAAGGGAATGTTCTGAGTTCGACCCCTAAACCTGGATCAACCTCAACACTCTGGCAACGGTCCAATCACAGGTTTCAGTTTTACAGTGATGTCACTTTTTTAATTTTGATTAAGAAACAAAAACGTTGTTTTACAGCAGAGAGTGTGAGGTAGTGTGTGGTCCTTTTCTGATGTTGGATGAATGAAATGTCATTTAAAGCATGAATAACAGAACAGAAAAGTGTGTTACCCCACATATGAATGTAAACAGAACAGGGTCAAATTGTCATCATTAAATTGTGAAGATCTTTTGTTTGGTCATTGTTCTTTATATTATGTCATGTTAGTACATGTTGATACTATAGCTCTCCAAGCTTGGATCACTGTAGTATTTTATGATTTGTACTAACCCGACATCCTGTTGAAATAATCTTACCAATAAACAATAAAACACAACTCACAGCTCCAAATACAGTCTGTTGTTTGACTCACTGCTCTGTCCGTTAATGATTCACCTGAACTGATAAATGATGTTTCTTTATTATATAAAGTGTCAGGTATAAAATTCATTACAGTGAAGTGAAAATGAGAAGAGCTTGATTTGTTTTTTTGGAACAAAGCAAAGCATTTTCAGCAACTAGTAAATATTTATTTGCATGTGGATGTTGTGGAAAATGTAAATAATATTCCAGTTCTACTGTCAACCACATAATTATTAAGTCACATAGTGTCATCACATTTTCAGCTTAAGGTAATTCAATGTTCATATACAGGATATATATATATATATATATATGTAGTATATTAAAATATTTTTTTTTTATTTATATCTGCTCTTTTTATATATCGAGCTGTGGAGAAAACCTAGATCACCTGATTGTTACAGAATTTGGTTTCATTTTTTACTGGTGTCTGGAATGTGACCACAGACATACAGGAAGTGCCAAACCTCTTTTCTAGATCTTGAAACTGGTATTATAGTAAATAGTAACTGGTAAATAGTACTTTATATTTGTATCATATGATTTCTTATATAATTTACAGTATCAAATATATAGGTTTACAGTGCAGCAGTAAACAATAGGATTAGCTGTGATGTCACGTGTTTCCATGCAGAATTCAGCCCCACAGGTTTGACCCATGGAGGTTGTTGTGCTCCCCTTGAAAGAATCAGTACAATCAACTTAATATTCACAGGTCTGTGTCTGTGAGGAGCTGTTTCTTTCATTTGCTGAATGTGAAACTCAAATTACAAACGATTTAAAAAATACATCCAAAACCAAAGGATCATTTTTGGTCACAACTTAACAAACACACAAAACGTTCTCAGCTACATGAACAACTATATGATGAACCGGTACAGAAGCTGAGTGTAGCTCTTTGGGGTGTTTCATACTCTAGGTGTAACATACAGCACATTACATAGAACAATTTACTTGATTGGAGGAGCCACAGAACTGGAGAATTTCCTGACAGATGTCATCAGTTGCTAGGCAGATTTTAGTGCAACAGGTTTTTTTCAGGGGAAAACCAAAGCACCACTCTGAGTCTGGGTGTGTTCAACATGAGCAAGAGATGAGTGAATCAGCTCGACTTAAACATGTTGATGAAATACAAAAATATATTGTCCACATGCACAATGAGAAGCAGAAAGAAACATGAATTTCCCCTAGGGGATAAATAAAGTATCTATCTATCTATCTATCTATCTATCTCTAAACTCTATGTAGGCGGGTGCAGACGATTCTGAATGACCCACCATCCTGAACCCACACTGAAGGTTCAGGAGGCCAAACTGATTGAACCAGTGCAAAAATCTGTTTGTTTCATCCTCCATCAACATATTAAAATACAACAAGTTGGAAAACTATATCTGGTATATCTGGGTTTCTTCTATTTTTATATCTGGTTTTAATATTGAAACTATTGCCTTCTATTATTTGAACTGGTTTTACTACTGAAACTATTGTTTATCACCATCTACTACAGCTGGTTATAGAACTACTGCCCCACATTCACTTTGTGAATTTAGGTTTTGTGTACATTTGTATGTGTGATTTATGTATTTGTGTTTATGTGCAGTGAGATATTGTTGAGTGTGTAATGTGATGTAGGAGCTTGGAGCCCAAGACAAGTGTCCCTGCAGGACAAGAGTATAAACCTTACCTTACCAGTCCGTACCAGTGGTTTTACACTTCAGTATTCCCTCTATTTTCTGTTGATAAAACAGTAAAAGCTGCGTATGATAAACAAATAACTAAGAGAATCTACGTATATTATGTTAAGACCTTTCTTATTAGAGACACCAGCGAACCAGACATAAAGGATGCAAAATAATTTCACGAGGTCTTTAACAAAATCATCACTATCATTTTCTTGTCGTGTGTAAAATCAAATTTCCTCTTCAATTCTGTTTGCCTTAATAATTCAGTTCTTCCTGCTCTTTAGTTTCACATTTACAGGTCAGACATGTTCATTTAGCCTGAGACAACAGTGAATACTCAGGTAATACTCAGCCCTGTGGCTTCACTCACAGATGTGTAAGCATACACTGAGAAATCAAAGAAGACACGAAATCATACAGATGTGGAATTTTGGGGACTTTATTAAAGGAGCAAAACAAAAGTACAAATGCATGAAAAACCAACTTCATTAATATTCATTTCTATAACCCGACACAGGACGACATTTTGAGCGTCACTGTTCAATTTCTAAATGTTTGCAAAGCTGAGAGAGAAACAGTCCCTCGTCCCTGAACACCAACAGGAAATGTTTTCTATCGGTGCTGAGAATCTTAAAACATCCCACAGCCCTTTAACAATCAAGAATAAACTCAAAACATAATGTTTAAAACACATCTAATTATGGATAATATGGAACAAAAAACAATATACTCTTCATTCATTAAGATAGACATAAATTATTTTTCACTTCGGCCTGATTAGAATCTAAACGAAACAATATTTTAACTTTTATCAGTTTCAAAGAAATATACAAGCAAAATATATTTACACATGGAAATGGAAATAAATGCTGATGCTTGTGTTTTGTGTGTGTGTGTGTGTGTGTGTGTGTGTGTGTGTGTGTGTGTGTGTGTGTGTGTGTGTGTGTGTGTGTGTGTGTGTGTGTGTCTAGGAGTGATACCACCTATCATTGTATATGTAATTTGATGTTACTTCATGTGTAGTAATGAAGTAGTATATTTCCTGGAAACTAAATGAGTGACTGTTTAGAGATGCAGCAGTGACCAGATGGAAATATGTGTCAATTAAAGAGTTCATTCACCACAGTGACGCAAAACTCCATCCATCCAGTTTCTATCCTGCTGAGAGTCTGAGGGGCCTGGAGTCAGTCCCAGGCAGGAAGCCAATCACATGGTTAATCTCCATTTCATGTTGCATGTTTTTGGATGTTGCTGATTGATTCGCAGTATTGTGGTTTTATTCGACCAGGGAACCAGTTATCTCCAGGTGACATCATCATATCGCCAGACACTAGTGTATGTATTTGACAAGGGGAAAGCATGTACAGAGTGTGGATGTGTGTGTGTCTATATTTCTGTATATTTAGATTTGTATTATCAATATTGATTTTACAAGAAAACCCAACACCAGAAATATGAAAGTGTAAATATGGTGGGTTAGATTTAGATGAACACACAAATCTTAAATCCTAAATGAATTGTCTGTGTTTGAACACAGCTGTGACGCTTTCATTGATTTGAATATCAGTGTTTAATTTCGCCCCAGGTAAAGAAAAAATAATCATTTCATTTACCAATATCTAAGCAAATATTTTATCAGTGGTAATTCCACTTTTTCATTTTAAACTAAATGATCACCTTTTATTTTTGATATTTGTCAATTCATTTTTCTGTGTTCTCTTTATTCCAACCAATAGATTTCCAGCCCTGACTCTATAAATTTATGTTTTGTTGATGAATAATCAGTGGATTCCCAGTTGATGGAGGAGCATGTGGTGACACGGCTCCTTGATCCAGAGCTGAATGTCTCCATGAACCTGAAGAGACACAAAGAACAACGTTACATGAAGTGACTGTAAATGTCTGGAGAGTTCAGTTCCACAAAGCCACATATTTACATGTTGACAGTATCATCTGGACCTAAAACAGCCATGATACAGTCATTTAAGGATTAACATTATGTAAACTGAGTATTTACCTACTCTGCTTCTGCAGAAGATTAATACAACACTTTATCTGTCCCACTGGTCTGAAGGTTTCTGAGAGCATCTGTGTCTTTCTCAGAACCATCTCATTTAACTCAATATAAAACATCTGTGTAGAAAACCCATTTAAAGTTAAAGCTTTTCTTTACAACTACAACGTGTCACAGAAGTTTGACGGTGGATAAAGAAACAATTACATAAAGTTGTTTGGCACAAAGTTTAAAGCAGCTTTGTTGAACGTCTGCAGTAACTCACTGTGTTCAGGCTGGAGTGTTTGTTGCTCAGGCGCTTGGATTCAGTTGCTCCATGACCTCCGGGTTGCTCACAGCTGTAAGGTCAGAAACACACTGTTAGCCCACATCCTCCTCTGAACTGACTGTTTTACAAACAGCTGAAACTGCAGGAAACAGTCCTGAGAACGTCTTCAGCACAAAACACAAGAACCTTTTTACTCTACAGAGATCATGTGACATCACAGAAAACACAGTAGAAACAAGCGTTACTTACGAGATGGAGGACGCTTGGCTGAAATGAAAAGAAAATACAAATAATTTCAGTTGTTGCAGCTGAAAATACTAAAACTCAAACTGATACAGATCCCTTCTCCCTGTTGTTTAGATCTGACATTATTTCTTTTCCTGTAACCACTCCCTTCACCCATCATGCTTTAGTCACATGATCATCAGACTGTGGCTGTAAACCCTGCAGCTCTCACTGGTTGAAACACATTCTGTTTGGCTGGGAACTGAAGTTTGTTTCACTTTTAAAATCTGGATAAAGCATCAACTCAAAGTCTAAAATCAAAGAGTCTGTGGTTTGGTTTCTCACCACTCTTCTTTCTGTAGATGAAGAATCCAACAGCGCCGATGACGAGAGCGAGAACCGCCACTGCAGCGATGATGATGGCGATCAGGGGAGGGGACTTCTCTGTGGAGCAAAACACAACAAACCAATCACAACCTGTCGTGATGAAGCAGGTCAGAAGAGACGACCACACCACCTCCCTGTACAACGGCAGTTCAGTCTGTGTATACACACCATATGTTAGTTTGTCCTGGTGTTGTTACTCTCACTTTTCATCCCTTCTGGTCTGTAAATAATGAGTGTGTGTGTGATCATTTATCTGTGTGTGCTGTTGTTGTCTTTGTTTACACGTCTGTTCTTGTCACTGTGTGTGAGAACTATGAGACCTTCTGACAATCACAGTCACATTACTGTGAACAACTGGGCCAATAAACCTGAGTCTGACCCATTTACTGACAGATACATTTATATTCACCCAGTTATTACATCATTTACTCTCTATTCATCTTCTATAACTGACAAATGGTTGAGTCAGTGCAGTGGCTATAATCTCTAAATTGAGGTTAGACAATAATCCAAACTCAAACTTTGTCTGTTGATTCCTGCAGAAACCTAGAATTATATTTTTACAATGATTTCAGCTCTAGAATGAATTTATAAAGGTGGTAAATTTCAATGTAGAAAATAAAGAAAAAAATGAATAAAATCATGTTTAACTGTCGACATTGTTCTTGTATTAAAGTAACAGTCAACAAGCAGTACAGAAGATGTGGTGGACACGCACTTTAAAACTTCCACTTTAATCAGAAAGGAAACTTATTAGAAAGATATCAGTTGTTTTCCTGCATTTGTCAGAATCACATGATGATACTAAAGTGAGATACGTGTTGGTTTAATACTGATCCAGCCTGAAAAACATTTAAAACTGGATGAAAGAAACTGACCAAAAACCAAACAACATGAGAGAGAACTTCTCATCCTACACACACGACAATACATGAAGTGCAGGAATATTATAGTTAAACATGTTTCCCACCTTCATCACTTCTGATTCAAATCTTACCGTTGGTCTTGATCACTGATTTGTCCAGTTTGATGACGATGTCCTCCTTCACTCCAGAGAGCTGAAACACACAGTCGTACCTCCTCCAGTCTTCAGGTTTGACTGATGAAAGGTCAACACTCATCTGGAAGCTTCCATCAGGGTTGGGGAGGATCTCTCCTTGGTCCACGCCCTCATGAAGCTCCTCTCCATCTTTCCTCCAGGACATCGCAGCTCTGTGAGGGAAGAAACCTGTAGCGTGGCAGCTGACTGGAGAGGAGGGAGTCTTCTGGAGGAGAGACACTGAGGGAAGCTCTGGAGGGAGAAACAGAAAAACAGCTTGTAGTTTCTTATAATTTTCTGCACACTAACATTACCGTTCCTGTTTGATGGGATGTGTTTTGAATACTTTTGTTACACATTTTAATATATATGCCAAATGTAATTTTAAAAAAAGGTGTGGTGGGACAGAGGAAAAAGACAGATGAAGAAATGTGAGGAGGGAGAGAGAGAGAGGTTAGAAAGAGCGGAGGTGAAGAGACAGTGATGGAAAGACAGAGTGAAAGAGACACTGAGGCAGAGAGGAAGAAAAGTGGTGATAAATATGTAAGAGAGAGTGACAGAGAGAAAGTGGGGGAAAGGAAAGAGAGGTAGAGGTGAGAGAAAATGAGAGAAATATAAATGTGTGTAAACTGACACAGTCGGTCTCTGGATGTTGGTTTGTATTTATTGTTACTGTTGGTTAGAAACAGAGGAAACATGTGAAGACTGTTGTTCATGAAACTTCATCAGATCATGTGATTGTACCTGTTCTCAGCATAAGGATCCTCCCATAGTCCAAATACTTCTTCAGCCACTCAGGACAGATCTGGGCAAGGTAGTTCTTTCTGTATTCTAACTCAGCGTTGTCATGATTCCACTTGTTTGTAGTGATGACAGCCTGTGGTGTTGGAGCGATCCAGGTGTTTGTCTTCAAGTCCCATACTACAAAGTCTTCTCCATCATAGCCATACTGTCGAAAACCATCAACCTCTCCAGTCTCATCGTCCCACTCACAGCCGTACATCTTCTGGTAAACGTGGACTCCTGAGACAGAGACAGATATTGTTGTAAACAGACTGAGATCAGCACAGTCAGTCATTAACAGCTGATTTCACATCTTTACCACAGAGACACACTGATCCACACACACACCAACACACTTACAGCCAGTCACCATCTGAGCCATCTGTGTTTACTCCTAAGAGAGAGACAGAGAAGCAGAGGCTGCTGGGAAACTGAGTCCGATCCCAACACACACACACACACACACACACACACACACACACACTTACTAACCCACAGAGACACACACACACACTTTATCTACACCAGGGGTCTCAAACTCCCGGCCTCTCTACATCCGGCCCGCGACTTGACGTAAAAAATGAAATGCAATTTGGCCCTTCAAGTTTATTTTTATTTATTTGTTTTCCACAATCAGGACAATAATTTCACGTGCAATTTAATTTATAAAAACTATTCCAATAAAATTAAAAAATCCAAAATGATCTCAAGGGAAGAGCTGGCGACGAGAAGCGCAGAAGAACAAGAAAAGTTAGTAGCAGAAGAAGCCGAAGACGTCGCTCTCCAAACGTAAAAGCAAAGTGGATGACGAACACAGACAATTTCAAGAAAGATGGACATTGGATTATTTTTTTTGTTGAGTTCAGTGGAAATGCCATCTGCCTCACATGTAAAGAGAAACTCGCCGTTCTTAAGGAATATAATACCAAGCGACATTACGCGAGTGAACACAGAGAGCGTTGTGACAAACAGGGGAGAGGACAGGAAGCAGCGAGCCGAGCAGCTACACAGAGGACAGCTATCCCAGCAACAACTTTCCCCACAAAGCTGCTGAGGACGCGGATGCTGCCGTAGAAGCAAGTTACGCGGTCAGTGAATGAATCGCCGAGGCGGGAAAGCCGTTCACCGAGGGGCAGTTTCTGAAGGACTGCGTGCTACGAGTTGCTGATATTCTGTGTCCCGAAAAGAAAAGCCTGTTTAACAACCTTTCCCCCGTCGGCACACGCTGTGGCAGAGCGGATTAACGGACTCTCAGGTGATATCTATGAACAGTTACGGGACAAAGCTCCAAGTTTCACTGCATTTTCACTGAAATTGCACCAACTGTTAAAATGTGGCTTCAAAGCTAGAGCTCTTTTTGTGTTATTCAGTGTGAAGACAGTGTGAACAGAAGTGCAGTCCGTTAGTTCATGAAAGGCTTTGATTAGTCATTTAAGAATGAGGCCAAAAACATTTGCACTCACTGTTAATTTCATAGTTTTGTATTATTATCAAACAATGTTTGAAAATAAACCAAGTTCTCAGAAATATTTCTGCTTTTTTTTTGATACCCGAACACTGAAGTGCCCCCCCCACTGAGATGACAGGGCCAGCAATGGCCCCCAGCTCATTTGAGTGTGAGACCCCTGATGTTCATGTGACCTGCAGGAACACACACACACACACACACACTTTATCTTTATCTATTTATCATTATTTTACTTAATCAGTCTACCATTCACTAATCTGAACTCTTCATGTTGCTTCTTTTGTTCGACTCAGTTATTTAATTTAAAATGACAAAAAAAGAAATTCTCAGATGTAAGAAAGTGGAATCACCTTTTTTTGTCTTTTCTGCTCGATAAAAGACTTCAGTGATTATTTGATGATCAGAATTGTTGACGATTAATCTGTTGATCAAATAATCAATGAACTGATCCAATTTTTCAGCACTAAATAAATGTATTACGCCATAGACACTGTGCTTAAGTAAAGTGAATCTAATCTAACGTGTAATTCTTCTATATATGAATTATCTGGTGAACACACTGTGGTCAGTGCAGTAAAATAAATCTCATCTGTTGTTCTACTTTAACGTATCAGACAGGAGTGAAAATGTCCACAAGTTCAGAGACGGAGGAGAAATCTTCAAATCCTTCCTTTTATCGACCAACACTGAACAGTGTTTCATTTCTAATCATCTACAACAAAGAGACAAACTTCATTCTAATATTTGAGAAACAGGAGCCTGAAAAACATCTGACATGTTTTACCTGATGAAACAGGATTATCTGATCATCACTATTATTGTCAGTTAATTCTCTGCTGATCAGCTGATGGATCAATCCACTGATGGTTCCAGCTCTATAACACACTCTTAGAAGGAGCGTGTTGAAAATGTACACAATGAGTGTGTAGTACTTTCTTTCACACACGCTGAGTCAGTTTTAAATCAGACTGTGTTGGATGAACCGAGCTGCTTTTAAACACACACACACACACACACACTTCTGTGTATATTTAAAATGAACAGCGTGTGTGTGTTGGTTCATTCGTTGTTCTCTCAGTGAACGGGAGCTTCGCTGTCAGTTCCTCCCTCCCTCACTCGGCCCCGATGGGTCACATGACTGACAAACCTCCTGCCTGTGCTGTGTGATTATCACGGCTGGAGTCACCAGTTAACACAACAACACAGCGAGCGGCACACGGAGCCTTTATCTTATTCTTTATGTTTCCACTGACGGAGAGCAGAGGACTGACACTAACGTCTGCTCATGTTGATTCTCAAGGAAACATCTACTTGATTCACCTTTTCTCCGCTGTGATTCACGTTGTTTCATTCATTCAGCTGCTCGCTCCTGTTCATTTGTGCGCTGCTTGGTTTGTAACTCTCTTGTTAAATGTAAAGTTTTCCCTGTGAGGTCGGTGTTGGGGACATTGGGCCGAGTCGGTGAGCTGACGTCACACTTCCTGTTAGCTCTGACGTCACACTGACGTCGGCGTTGTTTTCCACCACTCTGTGTGTTTTTATTGTTCATGGTGTTTAAAGTATTACATAAGCAGAGCCACGAATGAGCTCAAATGAAGCCTGAAGAAGAAGAAGCAGCGAGCAGCTCTTGGTGAAGCTAGCGCAGCCATCTGGCTCAGGACCGTGTGATGGAGGTGGAGCTAAACTATGGAGGCATTTCTTCTGGACTCACAGTTTGACAGTGAGTTTAACTGAACTGAGCTGTTCAGTATTTCTCTTGTTGATTTGTTATCAGTTCAGTTAGTCACGGTGAGTCGAGCTAACGCTCACTGACGTTGCATTGTAGCTGCTTTTCTCTTAACTAACAAGCTAACGTAGCTGAAGACTGTAGCTTGATGTGTCTGACCCAGTTACTGTCAGCTTGTCTTTAAATAACTTATGTCTTGGTTTCAAACGGGTTTATATTTCTCATAGTCAGGAGGAAACTGTTGCATTGAGTTAGTGGTTTTTCCTCCGGCCTCAGCATGTGTTGACTGTTAGCTGCTAAAACTCACACCTGTATATTATAAGAGTGTGAAGAGGACGTGTGTGTGTGGAGTAATGCTGGTTCACCCTCTCTTCAACCTCACCTGCTTCACATCAATTTCTTTTTTAATTAAACATCAATATAATAACACTAGAGTATGTTGGATTGTCAAAAGACTGTTTTAACTCAATATTACTATCTATAAAGGTAATGTTCAAATAATGCTGATGAATCACTGGATCCTGCTGCACACAGGTGGATTGGGGTTATTAAAATATATGATGAAAATATGAATAACACTGTTTAGAGGTGAAAAGTGAGAACAAACCTCCTGTTTGGTTGAAGCGCTGCTTTACAGTTTCAATGTTGGCTTTGAAGGATGGCTGGGTATCCATACAGATCTGAGATTGCCGGCCCCAGTATTGTGGATCATCTGCTGTGATTTTGTTCATCCAGTCTTGTTTGGGTACTGCTCTCTTAATGTTGCTGTCACAGATATCAGTCTGAACTTCATCAACCAAACCAACGATCACAAACTCTGGAAAGTTTGGGACTCCAGAAGATGCAGTGTAGAAATACTTAAGAGAGTGAGTCACTGTAAGAGAAATTTAAAATTCATGATTACAGGTTTGTTCATTACAGGTGTCAAATTCAAAACAGTTATTTTCAAAAATAAAAATACATTTACATACAAATTCTGGCTAGGGGTGGGCGATATGGCAAAAATATCATATCACGATTTTTTAAAAATAAAATCACGATTTCGATTTTATCACGATCTTAAATTGGAAAAAGAAAAACAGACAATTTAGACCAAAGAACCTTTCTTAACAGATTTTATTTTAAATAGTCGCAGTTTTGCCTGCATGTGCAAACAACGTAAAGTTTAAGGTAAACAACAACAACATTCTGGTTCGTTGTGTTACCACCCGACGTGCGAACGGTTTCTGTGCAAACTTTGCAGATTACATTTGCTTGCGCTTGATCAGTTGCGGAAAATCCAAACCAATTCCATATAATGGAGGTGGAATTTTTTTTAGCGACCGACTCCGTTTGGCTTTCAGCCATCGCTCTCCATGTGCTACCGCTACACACACAAACAAGGAGGCGGGTAGGAAAGTGCATCACTGCCCGTAATTCGCTATGATTGGTCGGTCAGGTTGACGACGTCAATACGTCTGGTGCGTCGGTGCATCAGCATAGAACTGCAAATTATAGAATGTGCCCTAGACGATCCCACGATCTCTGCAGTTTGAAAGATCGTCTTCACGTTGTAATCCTTCACGATCTAATATCGTCATATCGCCCACCCCTAATTCTGGCCCATAAACTTTACTATTATATGATGATGCCTTGTCTTTAAAAATTTATTTCAGAAACAAAACATTAAATAAGTCAGATATTTAGGTCATGTAATTATGTACCTGACTTTCTTCTAAGCATTTTGTAATTCGTTTTTACTATAAACTCTTGTGATGACCTCTGGGTCCTCTTGGGGTTTGGTTGTACCATACAAATCTGTCTGTCAGGTAGCTGACTGGGGTATGTGGAACACATGTGGCACAGAGTGTGTTCCAGGATACATAAGTCTGGGCTGCAAACTAACCATTCTCTCTCTGGTCGTCTCCACAGGCACACCACATTTTGGGTTTGGTTATGTTGCCTTAGTTCAATCAATTTGTTCTGCACCTCACAACACCTGCACCCACATTCCTTGCACACCACACATCACTGACTTTACTGATTACCATGCAAAGATTTAATATGACACTTTAATTTGGTTCAATTCGTTTTTAATCAAATAACCTGTAAATACCTGTTAACCATATTGTATCTCCCTTTTATTGTGGCCAGAACACTCTGGATGTGATTGATTTTAAATTTATTTTCTATATTTAACTGACTAAAACTTCTTCTATTTCATTATATTATAATCGGCCCCCAACAAACAAACCAAACAGTGGAATTTTCTGAGGATTGAACATTTTAAAATATTATATAATTTAAGAAAACAGATCAGACAATAGCAATAGGACAATATGAACTTACGTTTCATGTTCAGTAGGTTGTTTGTTATTTTTCATATACATTTTTCACACTAAATAAAACTAATAAAACTACTGACACTGAGCATGCCATTCAGAGCGCACAACTTTTTACATAAGACATGAACAATAAAGATTCCAATTGTCAAGTGCATAATGTGTAGTTGTGGATAAGAAACATTTTATCTTAATGCCCCCTTTTTATCTTATTTTCATGTTTTCAATATTTATCTGACAGTGTGTTGGACTTTTCTCTGCGTTGGGACCGTATCGATCTCAATGATCCTGATAAAGTAAAATAAGAAGAGAAAAGACACTTTTCAACTGCCTTTTTCAAGAATAGAATATTTGCATTCCTTCTTGCCATATCAAGTATCAATACCATGAACAGGCTGGATTTACTAACTTGAAATTTAAGATAATGAGTTTGTTACTTTGGGTCTTTACATCTCTGCAAGGAAGACCTGGGACTTTTCCTTTTATAGTTAAACAATTTAAACATGTGTAACTCACCTGCCGCCGCGCCGTGTATTCCCAGAAGAAGCAGAAAAATCAAGGTCTTCATTGTGACAGAGAGGATTTCAATCTTTGATACAAATGTAACTAATGCGTTTCTTTGTCCAGAGAAAGACACACTGTGTTTTCAGCTCCAGCACTAGAGCACAACTCAGGGGAAGATATGGAGCTGTCGAACTTCAACCTTCATCTGAGCCAATGAGAATTTAGGCTGAGCATGTGCGTCACTTAAATCTGGGTTAAACTGACTGACTGAGGTTACAAACGAAAGTGAAAGTAAAATCTTCTCATTTCAGCCTGTGACAGAGGACGGAGGCTGAGAGGAGACACTTTATTTTGGTTTGTCACTTTGTTCACATATGACAGGAGTGTTATAACTTAAACTGCTCACACTCTGTAAATGTTTTATAGACTCATGTGACGTGATGAGCAGAGATGTAGATCTTTTCTGAGAGGTCAGAGGTCACTGTGAGCTACAGATCAGATACTCTGGAGCTTGTGTGGAGACAGCAGCGTCTTTTTCTTCTTCTTTTGTTTTGTGTGACAGTTCTGATTAAAATGTCAACATCAAACAAACAAATCCAAGTGTTGTTGTCTTGATGTTACAGGGAATAAATGTGGTGAACTGCTCCCTCCAGTGGTTCAACCCTCCAGCTGACGTGCAGCAGTACAGTCTCTCAGTGTGGACTGTGGAGGACAAACACAAGAACTAACAGGGGGTTTATTTCAGATGATCAGTTTGCAGTAATATCTGCTCATTAAAAGAGATGGAGGAAACATCTGATATTCTTTTAAAGTCCATTTCCAATAAGATGTTTTGTTGAGTTTCAGGCGTGCACATTAGTGTCGGCACAAATCAGACCTACTGTCAGGACAGACCATAGAACAACACGACACAGTGAACATGAAGCAATAATTTACTCCAGTGTTTCACTTTTCAAATGAAAACCAGAAGGAAAGAAATAAAAGACAAAGGTCAGCTGGGCTCTGTGCTACAGGCTAAATGCTCCTGGACTGACTGGAGCTGTGAACGCTGCAAACTGCTGCAACAAGAGAAATCCAACTCCACTGTTGATGTTTGAACCAGGTTTGAACACCTGATGCTGCTTTTCATTTTGCTGCTGCTGTGGCAGAGTTTATCATCACTTTAGAAAATGTTAGGAAATCTAGATTGAACTGAAAAACCAAACAGAGATTGAAGTCAGAGCCTCTGTTCTCAGCTCTTCAGTATCAGTCGTGACTGTTACACAAACAGAGCAACATGCGTCACATCTTTTCTCCAGGTGTAAATGTTGTATTTAAATAGTTAGTGACGTGGAGGCTTGAGCTCCGGTTGATGAAGGCTCTTCCTGCTCACTGCTGATCATCACCTGATCCGTGCACGTTGTTGTAAAAATTGTGCGTGTTGCAACTGCTCTCAACTTTCACCTTTATTAATGACTATAAGGCTAAATGTACAGTACTTACATTATAACTAGAACCTGTAGTACTCTGTCATAGTTCCTCATATTATTGAAAATGATCAAAACATCTAAATGTAAAACCCTGAATAATAAAGAATTATAAAGTGAAAGACAGAGGAGTCAGTCATGGGACAGATTATATATCTTTATATAGATTATATATCTTCCTGTAGTAGCTACATGTTCTTCAACAGACCACAGCAAACAGTGACGCAGGGTGTGATGGTGGTGCAGTCAGTGTTGCCAGGTGTGTTACTGTTATCATATCTGTAAATGACTTCTTACTCTCTCAATGTACCATAATATCCATGGGTCATAGTTCAATGTTTTTTCCATAACAGTGAAACGCTGTGGAGCTGATTTAGGCCCCAGGCTGATTATTCATCATTTATGACACTATGACAACAATCCGTTACAGAGAACTGACTCTGGATCTGCTATGAATTATCCAATCACATCTCTCTTCAGTCAGCTGTCCGCTTACAACCTCTTTCACACTTGTTGCTATAGTTTCTGTTATTTTCTATAGTTTATCCTTCTTGTATGGGTTTAGCTGTCAAATGGTTTCATGTGGTTCTTGTCAGGTTTTGTTTGGTGCTGTTTACGCTATGAAAGTGCTACAGCTCTAAAGTCTTTGCTTGTACACTCGGATGCTTAGTGATACATAAATGCATTGTGAACTGGGGCACACTCCTCGGTCTTCAGGCATAGATTCTGACATGTTGTTGTTTCTGGCTCCTGATAATGCTGGGTACAACAGACCTTAAACTCAACCAGAGGTCAGAGGTCAGTCAAACTTTGCGTCACAACAATTTCCACTTTAAACTTGTGGAAAAGCACTGCTGCCTCTTTTAGTTGAAAGGGGTAAATATCACAGCTGGTGTGTGGTTGTGTATTTTGCACGAGGTGTGGAACAGACGTACGGAGGACGATGAAGAGACGGAGTGAAGAAAGAAAGGAAGCAGCAGAGAGAGAAAGAAGAAAAAGTAATTAGTGCTGTTCAGACCTTGCACAATGTTTTGTAGGTTAATGTGATGTAATGAGCAGAAATGTATTAATTTGGGGTCAGAGGTCACTGTGAGCTGCAGATCAGTCACTCTGGAGCTTGTGGGGAGACAGCAGCATCTTCTTCTTGTTCTTTTGTTCTGTACGAGCGACCTGTGACTGAACAGCTCTGAAATATCAACAACCAATATTTAGATTTATTTTTAACAATCAGTAATACCATCTGATTATAAAATAAGATTTAAAAAGCAGCTTATCTATATACAGTAAGTTCATATACAGCACATGAAGCTATTTTTATTATGTTTAACATAACGCATTAATTTAGGTCTACACGTTTATTGTGGCACAAAATACTTAAAATGTGAGAACAGATGATATAACATGCAGTAATTTCCAATCTTTGTTCAAACTTTTATTTTGAAATAAAAACAAGTTACGAAATAAAACCAAAGCAGAAAATGAGCCTGTGAACTTGTTAAACACAGACATCAGATCAGTTCAGCTCCGTCTCACAAGCTGATTCCTCCTGATCTGATATGAAGCTGTGTTCACTGAAGTTTGGAAATTTCATTCCACTGTTGATGTTTTGACTCCTGAGGCTGTTTTTCACTTTACTATTGCTGTTACAGTGAGATGAGATGAAGAAACAGACAAGTTAATACTTTGTGAGAAACAAACATGATTTACAGTCATGGCCATACAGGCACCACTGAGGACACTGAGGTTGTGTCCCTCAGGATATTTTTGTAAGTTTTAGGGTTTTAGCAACCTGCCTGTTAAAATACACGGGGGGTGGGGAGTAAGTTTTAGACTGATTCCAGTATTTTTAGACTCAGTACATTTAAAGTTCACTGCTTTTAACTCAACAAAGTAAATAAACAGAGGATTCAGTATTTTCCCACCAGAGTTTTATTCTAGGCAGTGAGAGATGGCTTTTATTTGAAACATCTTTTATTTCCAGGAAGGTTTCTTGGTAAGAGCTTTATAATCTGATGATAGAAAATTTACTGAGATTATCTATTGAGTGAGTTTATAAGCAGTTTGTCATGCCCTCTGCCTCCCAGTCCTCTCCCCCTCTCTGTGCAGGTTGCTAATTGCTGATGCCGGTCGGCTGTGCTGGAGTGCCCAGGTGTCACTGATTGCTGTCTGCTGCCTCAGCCTACTTAAGCTCCCTGCGTCAGTCAGTCAGCGCTGGATTGTAGACTCAGCTACCGAGTTAGTTCCGTCTCCAGCTCCTGAAAACTTATTCTAGTTGTCTCCATTCAGTCTGCCGTATACCCATTCTAACCTGTTTCTCTTCTGCCCAGGATCACCTGCACTCCCACCCGGCCTCCAGCTTCCAGATCCCCGGCCCGGCTCAGCTCTCCTGCCTGCCACACTCCTCCAGCCATCAGCCGCCTCATCATCTGTCCCTTCATCTGCCCCGCACCTTCTCTAACAATAAAACTCTTTTAACCGCCATCTGCCTCCAGTCTCTGCCAATTGAGTCCACCTACCTGGTCTGTAACAGTTGTTGATTTCCAGAGGCAACTATATTGGTAATATTTTGTTTTATTTACTTGATTTAAATTCTAACATCTTGTTCAAATTTTTGTAAAACTGTTTTTTAAAAGGTTATAAAACTTACATTTTACTATATACATTACATTTTACTACATATATATATATATATATATATATATATATTTAACTTGACTTGTTTCTCACTGTAAATGGGACTCTTCATGAACAGACAGAAAATGCCAACAAAAATAAAAACATTTGAACTTCTACAGCTCTGTGACAACACAACAAACTCCATCTGCTGATGAACACTGTGTGGTACAGTCGAAAGCTCAGGAACAAGCCAGTTAATGGACCTTGGGTTGAGATTGTTTTGTCAAATTGTTTCCAAGGTCATAAATGTGCTGTCATGGTCAAATGTATTATTCACAATTATTGCATGAACATAACAATTTCCTGTATGTCACATCTTTTTATAGACACTGATGGCCTTGTTGCCATGACAGTCTCAGCAGCAGTGAAAATGAAAATCATCAAAATTCAACAATCAATACTCAAATCTCAGTGTTTGAGTAATGAATTCATAAATAAAGAATCAAACATCAAAGACCAGACAAAGAAAATGATTCAGTCATGAATTATGTCAGTATGTCTGTAAAAATTCAAAATCCAAATCAGACAGCAGGTCGTGTGACAAATACTCAAAATATCATGACATATCAGTACACAGTCTGATTTATCATGATATTAACAATCTGACACAAATGCGTTAAAGAGGCGGAGCTGTCGTCCTGAACACTGACGTTCACACTCTGAAATGTTTTTCAGTTTTATCAGTTTAAATCTGCTGGACATTGAAATATTCACACGTTCATGTTGCTGTGTGTCAAAAATACTGAGACTCTCTGCCACATGTTTCATCTGAAGTGCTGATAAAACTCTGTGAAAGTGATAATACTTCACAGTGCAGTGAATAAATACAGCACAGGTTTGATTCCTGATTCCTTCCACAAGTACATTTACCTCCTCAGTTACTCAGGTATCATGACTTATCACAGATGTGTATCGTACACTGCCTCAGATCTCCTGTGTTGTATCATGAGTTACACTCTGACTACCAGCCACAGCTAGAGCATTACTGTAGGTTATTATTATTATA